CTTAGGACGTGGGGGTTGCAGTGAGCTAAGATTGTGCCATTGCATTCCAGCCTGGGCAACAAAGTAAAACTCTGTCTCAAAAACAAAAAACAAGAGGGAATGAGGGTCCAGAAAAGGGAAGGGTCTTCCAGACCTAAGAAAGACCTTGCAAAAGGCTCAATTTGCCTTTTCTAAAGTCCTGGCTTAGAATTCCTCATCTGTTCAGTATATTCTCCAACTATTCCCCTGTCTATGGAAGTACCTCTCTCTCCTTCTTCTTGTCTTTTATCTATCTTTCTTTAATTAATTAATTAATTAATTTTAGCAATGGAGGTCTCACTCTGTTGCCCAGGCCGGAGGGCAGTGGTGCAAATATAGCTCAACGCAGTCTCAAACTCCTGGGCTCAAGTGATCCTCCATCTCAGACTCCCAAATAGCTGGGACTGCAGGTGAACTCCACCACATCCAGCTAATTTTTAAGCTGGGGGTGGTGGCTCGTGCCTGTAATCCTAGAACTTTGTGAGCCCAAGGCAAGTAGATTGCTTGAGCCCAAAAGTTCAAGACCAACCTGGGCAACATGAGGAAACCATGTCTCTACAAAAAAATGTAAAAAAATTAGCCAGGCTTGGTGCCACAGGCCTGTACTCCCAGCTACTTAGGAGGCTGAGGTGGGAGGATCACTTGAGCCTGGGAGGTTGAGGCTGCAGTGAACTGTGATCATACCACTGCATTCCAGCCTAGGTGACGGAGCAAGACTCTGTCTCAAAAAAAAAGTTATTTAAAAAGAGACAGGGTCTTGCTATGTTGCTCAGGCTGGTCTCCAACTCCTGGCTTCAAGTAATCCTCCTGCCTTCCGAGTAGCCGGGATTACAGGCATGAGCCACTGTGCCCAGCCCCTTTATCCATCTTTCGGAGTCCCATTTTGACCCTGTTCTCTGATATGGGGACCTGAGGTATACATGTGAACATGACATATGGAGAGGTATTATAGTCTTGGTGTTTTATTTTTTCTTCTTTTACTCAAATGAGGCATCTGGAGGAGAGGGGAAGGGAGGGGCTAGATCCTGGGGCCAGAGAAAAGAGAGACTCCCCAGCTCCCAGCCGCTGTGTGCAGGCCCAGGAAGTGGATGGGCTCACACCACAGCCTGTGGGTTTGTGGGGCCTGCAGAGAGAAGAGCCAGAGGAGATGACGTCAGTCAGTCTCAAAAGAAGTGAAATTTACCAGCTTTCCAGCTGCCTATTGGTCAGGTTTGAGGTACCAGAGTGAGCCCCAGCGGGATATGGGGGTTGTGCAATGCCCAGAATAAGGAGATTACAGCCTGTGGGAGGCAGGGGTTGGATGGTTTTTGGGGAGGGAGTCAGAAGTAAGACTGGTGAGGAAACTTTTCCTTTCCTTGAGAAGTCAAGTTCTGGGGAAGAGCTACAGACCAGGAACCCACCTGTCTTGGCAAAGCTGATGATTTCACATTCCTGTTCCCTGTTGTCCTCCGGAAGTGCCCCCTGTGGGAGCCCGTGGAGGCGCTGCAGTGCGGTCCTCAGAGCAGCTCTGGACACAGGATGGTTCAGTGTTGGGCGCTGGCGGAGGTGCAGCTTGTCCAAGATGCTTCTCTTAGCCAGGTCAAGAAGCAGCTCCCGCTGGCTCTCCAGGTCCAAGGTGGGGCCCCCACATGCTGGACACTGGCCGCCAGCTCTGGGAGTGGCCGCTGCGGTTGGAGCCAGGAGGAGAAAGGCCAGGAGCAATGAGGAGGTCATTGCTGGGGGAGGCCCTTCTTGAGGAACACAGACCCAGGGCTCAGGGTCTCAAGAGCTGTGGTCTCAACTCTGTCCTGGCTGCCAGGAGTCCTGGAAGAAGTGTATGTCCAGCTGGCATGGCTCCTTGTTGCAGGGGATAGAGCAGCTGCCAAACATCTGACTTGAAAATGAAGCCAGTTACAGGTAGAACTTGGCAGAATCTGCCAATGCATAGTTAGTGAAAGTACAGAGTGGGGGATGTGAGGAGAGGTTGGTTTGTTTAGGGTAAGACATGCCCCTGGGCCAATGTTGGGAGAGAGTTGTTATCCATGTGAGGTGCCAGGTCTGGGGACAAAGGTGAGAGAGTAAATTCCTCCTCAGATCACTACCCTTGCTGGGTATCCTGGGGGCAGGGGAAAGGGACAGATTACAGGTTTTAGGAAAGAATGTTTTTTTTTTTTTCCCCTGAGGGGGAGTCTAGCTCTGTTGTC